AAAGGTATAACATCATAATTCATGAATAGTGAGAACTGACATTAGATGTTTGAGGGCTGGTTTTGCTTCACGGTAGTGGGAGAGGGTATAATGACTGTAGTTTTGGGAAACAACTATGAAGTTCAGTTTATCCACTGGAGCAACAGATTAAAACTGAGCCTATTTTAAAAATGAATAGTTGAAAATGAACAGCTACTTTGAGAGAATAGCAAGGGATCTTGAGAGAAAGCTGGGCTTCACACTGAGGAGAAATCTTTAGTCTAGGCTGAGAACTCACTGTACTTGAAAGTTTGTGGTTCTGAGAATTCACAGCCTGCACCTGGGTGCTTGTAAAGTCAATAGGATTCGTTCTTAGACTTATTTTGCCTTTGGGCTTGGATAGAAATGTGAAGCTGGTGATTAGACTTTCTGTTTTCATGGGCAGTTACTTGCCTCTTGATTTGAATTACATCTATTTCTTCTTTTTTTGTTGTTGTTTGAAAGTTATAAAGCATCAGTCTTATTAGATAAAAGTGAAATTAGGCATCTTAAAGAAGAATAATTACCCTTTCTCCTTGTATCGTTAACCATCTTCATTGCAGGGAGGAAGGAGAATCCTTATGATGTTAATTTGACAGAAGGGCTCAAGTGCTTATTTTAGAACTCTTCAGAGGCATGGATTTTTGTGGACTGCTTGTATGCTGGGGATGTTGTATCTTTATTTAGAGCTTAAATATCAACTGGTTTATTGGATTTTTCTAAACAAAGTACTATTTTTCTTTCCATGTTAAGGGAGTACTGTGCTCGATTAAACTTGCACTTGAAATCAGCTCTTCAGCCAGCACTTCTGAAAATTGGTCTCTAAAGAATGCTTCATAAGAGAAAATTGCTAGTTTTTTAGTGTTTGTAGAGCCTCTAGACCTCACTGCTAATGAAATGCCAGTGACACAATTCAGCTTCACAATCTGCTGTCCAGATAGAAAATACTGTTACCTAAGCCTTATGTTAACTACACAGACCCCATGGGGGGGGGG